TTAGTCTATTCTCCTCCAGCAGGATCCACACCCACAGCTTCATTTTCTCTACACTTGCTCCACTCTGATTCAAACTTTGCTGTCCAGAGTTCAACACCATGTCCCAGATGTGGGCTTGCCAGCAGTCACCACCCCATCCCTCTCACCACCAGCAATAGCTCCTTGATGCAAACCCAGGATCACTGGTGCCTGCAGCAGCCTCACACAGACATTCACGTCTCACATATTCCACTTGCGTGTGGCAGTCCATCTGCTCGCTGAGCCCCAAAGCCAGCAAAAGCAGCACTGCTTGAACTATTTGAGTTGTTACCACACAACAGGATTATTTTTAATCCCAGCTGGCTAATGTACCAACCTGTCAGCAAAACCCACATGCTACTGCCAGACAGCTTTATTTACAGTCGTTTTAGGGACTACGCATGCACTGAGCAGGTAGGAAAGAATTCAATCACAGCCAGAGCAGAAGGTACAGAGAGGCTGAGGAACAGTAAACATTTGAAAGCATTTAAAGTGGTACAGGGTCACATGGTAAGGGGAGAAATAAGTCAGAAACTCTTAATGAAGAGCTGCTTAAATGATACCTCTAAAACAAGGAGATCTAATCATCAATGCTAACTTCCACATACAGAGCACGGTAAGAAATGGCAGTAAAGCATATAAGTTCCACAAGAGTGGACCCTGAGGCAAGACTGGATTTGCAGAGATTGAGGCCTGACCAACAGTTGTGTCAGTTATAGGCAGGACAATTTGGTCTCAGTGCAGCCAGATAAGCCCTGTCATTTGTACCGACACCCAGGACCTTCTCTGGCATGTTCTGCACCTGAACTAAGGATGAACATACAGCTGAATCAGTCTCCACAGTCTGTAGTGTTATGCCACTGCTCCAGGTCTTTTCTTCTTGGAAAGATTTCTATTGTAGCAGCATGAACACCACCGATCCCTATCGGCGAGATCCTGGAGGGTTTGAGGATTTTGCACCTGCTCAGAGCAGGGGACCTGACCATGCACTCAACCACTTGAGGAGGATCTGCAGCCCTTTCCTTACTCTTTCCTCCTGGTCCTGGCAGTGGAGAAGTCAAGTGAGCTGAGGACAAGACAGCTCCTCAGGTTAGAGCTATTTTCAGTAGTATTTCCTCAAGCATTAGCAGCCAGCTCCCTTGGCTGCTTTCGGACGTGGGAAAATTTGTTATGGAAAATTTGTACAATACCACAACAGGGCCAGAAGCAGCCTACACAGGTCCTCAGTTAAACTCAGCAGCTGGCACAGAGCATACTGTTTTATAACTAAATTTGACCAGCAGAGTTCAACAGGCCACTAAACAGAACTCAGAGGCCTCCAACCAGCATGCCTTTCCATTTCCAGACAGTGAAATGGCAGGACGCATCAAGCTTCGGTTAGTCAAGGATCACAGCTACAGAATCGTGTATGTGAGTATCCAGATACGCGCTGAGAAGCGCTTTCAAGCAAGAACACTCGTGTTCCCCCGTTGTTCCCTTAATGCTCCTCTTCAGCATTTTGCTCACACATTGCAGAACACTTCTTAATGTGAATTCAATGCATCTGCTTATCTCTAAAGTATTACTTCCAAAATACTCCAGTTTTTTTTTTTTTTAAAGCTATTTGACCCTTTTTAATTGAAGTGAGTATAAGCTCAGACATGTCAGCTAGCCCTCACTATTTGACTCTCAGAAAGATGGTTTGGAGGCAAGTTCCAGAGAAGAAGGGATCCTACCCCAACCAATTACAAAAAGCTGAGACCTTACATGCATTCTCTTCATGTTCTCATCTTTCTCTTTAGTCAGCTGGGCAGCAGTCACATCTGCAATGCCAGGACACCACAGCCAATGAGATTTCCCTCTGTAATGAGCAGCTCCTTCCCATCCCCCTGGCAATAAGAAGAGGGCTGGAGCAGCCTGGGGTTGGGGCATGAAGCTGAACTAGGCTGTTGTCTGCAAGCTCCGACTTCAGCCTGTACCAGACCCTGCTTAGTTCATACAAACCCGGCAGCATTTCCAAGACCTCACGTAACCGCTCCCCCAAGGTCCTTGCAACTGAAGACCAGCTTAAGCTCTGCTCCATTCTCCTCCCTGCAGAAGTCACCTACAGAAAGCACCTATAGACATGGCCTGCTGCTACCCTGATAGGACAATGGTGCTAAGAGCTTTCACGGAACTCGTGTGCCCAGCTAGCACTTCAAATACTCAAAGGCAACTATCATTCCCCAAAGCCAGTTCAAACTGATGCGAAGACTAAAACTCTCCAGTCTTTGATCTCAGGAGCCAAGCATCTTCGGAAGAGATAGCAGCCTTTTCTAAGGCAGATTTCTATGCTTAAAGGCAGTCCAAAGCTGAACATGTGCAATCAAGAGCTGTTGGGCAACGATGGTGGAACACAGACAGACACCTTTGACTTTCCACTGGCTAAAAGCAGGTCTTTCCTGGCTAGAGCAATCTTTTAGCTAAGACTTTAGGCACAAGAAGTGGCTGACCTCACATGGCTGTCTTCCATTTTTGAAGCATGAAGATAGTGACTGTTCAGAAAAATTAATTTCTGGAGAGCTGGTTGCTTAAGACAGTTATTTTTCCTCTGCAGCTTAGAGTCTACTTTGCAGATATACCAGTCAAGCAACTGGTTCCTCTTACTGGTGCAACATTTTAAATAATGATTCAGTTTTCTGGTCCAGCTCAATCCAAATGACTCTTCAGTACAGTTTCCTGAAGGATCTTAGTCAGGTTTGTCCAGTTCTCCTGCAAACACGCCTCCGCACTAAGGAAGAGAAGGCTCTCAAGCAGGTGTTGGAAGCAGAGTACTAGGAACTTGCTTAAAAAAAGATGTTCTGCTGAGAGACTGCTTGGCTCAAAGATGTCACAAAATCATCTTAAGGGTTGAGACTGAAACAGAGCTGAAAGAGATACCTCTGGATAAGTGGTACCGATTCAGATGCTTTCCCTTCCCTCCTCTTTGCTTCTCTACTAATCCAGCTATTGTAGTCACTCAGGGAAGAATTGCATGAGCTCCTGGAGACAGGCAAACCAAATGCAGCATAAATGCAAAGGTAGGTGAATATTGACTATACTGGAGAAAGAATGCAACTGTTCCTTGCTCAGATTGCTTGGAGCAGTGACACAACATATATTTTGTGCTTTCCTGATATTCTGCTCCTCCTCCTCTGCAAGAGGGGCTTTTGTTTATTGAGATACTTGAAGTCAAGAGAAAGTCTGGTACAGCAATTAGCACAGGAAATGAATCAATATTTCTGGAACCTGTATCCGACTGTACCAAGTTTACTAGCATCTTCCAAACTGGTCTGAAAGTCACCTAACAAACTAGATGAGGATACCAGAGTTGTTGCTTCCTTAGCCCTGCGGCAGCATTGTTTTTGGATGTGCCACTTGACTCCTACCTAATTTTTCCATTGCGGTCCCTTTAGCCAGAGAGCTGCATCAAGAGCAGAGTGGATGAGATATTTCAGCCCTTGTTCTCCGCTCTTGTTGAAATTCAGCCCTTGACTTATTTTTGTTGTTAATGAATATAAGATTTCCACAGAGGAACTGTTTCTGTAGTCTAAGCCAGTCTTCAAGACAGGGTAAAGCTACAGCTCAGCAGAAGTTCATTACTACTGTGCAAGGTTAAAGCAACCCATCAATACATGTTAACAGTTCTTTGCTTCTGTTCAACTGCAGACATGCTGTTTGAAGCTGAAGCTGCAGTAGGGCTTGGAGTCCTCATTGCTTAAAAGGGAAAAATACCAGTCCCTGAACCAAGACTATCTGGATTCCTTTATTGTCTCATCTGAAAGGCTGTAGTGCTCTTTTCTTGCCACCTCACCTCTTTCTGAAAGAGCTATGGGGGTGGTGAGGGGGCCCATTTCTCAAAGGCAGGCTGTAAGGATGTTGAACTTCCTCTCTGTGAAGCCATTCTGGAGACCATGAGAGCCTTTAAAGCCACTCAAGCCTGTATGAAGGTGTTCAGACCTTACCCTGCCCAAGTCCTCTGTTTCACCTCATCTATTCTTATCTCATTCCCAGTCTGTAGCTGCTTCTGCAGTCTCACAGACCAACTTTGCCCTTTACCCAGTGCCAAAACCCATTTACCTGTGTGCAGCACTTCACATTGGTTGCACACTGAGTATCAGCTTGATTAAAAGCTCAAGTCAGTGCTGTTTTCACACTAATTCCATTTGGGTCGAGTTTCACCTGCGCAGTTATTAAACCAGATACTAAAAAAGCACAAGGCTACCTTCAGGAAAGCAGGCTTAGTGATTAAGGTCTTAAAGCTGAGAAAGTGCATCTGTATGAATGGATGCATCTTCTAAAGTAAAAGCTTGAACTAGTCTTTAAATTAGATACAATGTAAAATAGCAGAAAGACTAGTTTACTTTTTCTCCATCCCCTGAGAAGCGCTGCTCTCTTGAAGCTGGCTCTTCTCTTTCTAAAGAGGAGTGCTACCCTCTAGCGGGGCTAGCCAAGAAAGGCTTTCAAAACATGTTTTTCCCCCCCCATCTCAAGACAGGAATTGAAGCAAAAGGCTGCCAGGCTCAGAAGTACTTAAACTTGGTATTTAACATCAGCTGGTGATATCACAGGTCATTTGAGAACTCAGTTTTGGGGCTAGTCTGTCTCCCAGTCATGCCTACCGTAGCCCAAAGCAAACATAGCAACTGCCTGTTTTGAACCAAGAGGCTGGACTTAAAAAAAAAAAAAAAAAAATCACACCTTATTTATTGTACACATGCTCCAGGGGTACTTTATCTTCCCTAGAAAACCATTCAACTTGCCTTCAAACTGTTTTGCCCAAGTTTGCTTAGCAAGGCAGCAGGCACACATATTTGTAAACTAGAGACACCCCAGCATTTAACATACTCCTGCAACAACACTTGACCAGCTCTTTGAAGAAGAGGTAAGAGGTAACAGAGCAAGCAAGCCAACCTTGCACAGCAGTGCCCAAGCAGGAGGGTAGAGGGAGAACAAAGACAGTGTTAGAGATGTTTGATACCTACCATATTCTCCAAAGACCAAGTACGTGTACTTCTGACGCTGCACAATCCAGGAGACAATGTTCACACCAAGCCAGATCAGCAACATCCCCAGTGTGGCATCAAGGATGAAGTTAATGAGATAGCTAGAAACAGAGCAAAAAGGCACTTTGAAAAACTTCAAAACTCAGGTTTGGATTGTGTTCTTAGATTTACACAAAACAATCCAGACCTCTTATTTCAATAGGGGAAACCATCAAAACCTCTAGAATCTCAAAGTCTCCACTTGCCAACCCAAACTCTCCTTTCTTTTACTGGTAAGGATATAGAGTAAATCCAAGAATACTATCAATTTTGTAGTTCAAAAGCCCGTTAAACAGAGAAGGGAGCAGGTTCCTCCAACTCCCTGGCCTTATTCATTTGTTCATACAATATTAAATACTTTTGGGGGTAATTCTTAAGCAAGACTAGCCCAAGAAGGAGGTAACCTGTTGATAGCATCTTCTGTTCCTATTTGGATGAAATACAAAGTTTCCGAGAAATTGAACTTTTTTGAAGTTCCCTACAAAAAAGCAGAAGCTTGCTGGATGCTACAACTGCTCTGCAAACTCTGCAGCAGAAGAGACAAAAAGGCTGATTTACTGAGCAACTGTGAGGTCTCCCAAGAGCAATGCCCTTAGGGCTGCATCACCATCCAGAGCATCTCCAAGTTGCAGATCAAGAGCCAGATGGTTTTCGGAAAGGCGTGAAGCCCTGGCTCAAGAGCAGACATCCTGGAGTCTCCAAATGCCCCCCTTTCAGGGTCCCTGCTGCAGATCTAGGGACTGAAGTCCCATCCCCACCACAAAATTTGTGGCCTGATCAGTTTACTTCGTAGCTTTAGATGTTTAAGCTCTGCTGGAAAGATTGCCAGAGGGAAGGGGACCTGCAGGGACCTTCTAGGGGCCACAGGGTCCAGGCTCTGATACAGGGCTCAGTATTTTAATAAACTCCAGAGGAAGTCTCCAATGCAAGAAGTTGGCCAGAAAACATATATCCATTTTTGGAGTCTTTCTGCCAGATCTGGCCAGATTTCTACAGCATGAGGAAAATATCAAGTACAGTTACAGGAATGAACAGTAACATTTCCTTTGCCAGAACTTGATACAGCCTAAGAATAAAGACACTGAAAATAATGATCTGCTTTCAATATCCACTTTGAAAAGACGACATTAAGATTTGCTATAACCTAAGGCTCAAACTGGCTCACTAAAGCGTTCAGCTGCCGAAATTGGAGTACTCCGATACAAACACGAGGCTCTGATGGTTTGTCACGGGAAGGACACGTAGCATAAGAGCCTCCAAGTCCAGGGACAGAGTTTTAAGCTGCCTAGTTCAGAATTACAAATCAGACAGTACAGGAAAATGCAAAAAAACCCACTAAAAAAACTGACAGGCACAACATAAGCACAAAGGGTTTTATTTTGTTTTAAAACAATGTCTGTTTAAAACAATCATGATGAATCACTTTAAAGGTTTATGTAGTGCCAGACAACCTTGTGGCTGTTTAAAGAAACATATCAAGGTGCAGCACTTTAATATATACAAAAGCAGTTTGGCCAGGTTTTAAATAGCATTTTAAGGCCTCAGGAGTTATTCCAACGAGGATGAAGTTAGTTCTGCAACAAAGCTCATAGCTGCAAGGTGGCTGGTCTGGAATAAGAGGCCACATTTCTACACTCATAGTTGAGGTCTGGCTTAGAAAGCCCCAGACCAGGACTACGTGAATGCAAGCGGGTAGATAAAACTGAAGTTCTGAAAAAATATATCCTTACATTTGATAAAGGTCTTCAATTAGGAAAGCATCCTCAATATTCCTTTGAGATCAGCCAAACTGCAGTCAGGCACACAAATAAATAGTATATTTAATCATTGCGATTGTGTGGGAAGCCACTGCACAGAGTGCCACAGCGCTGAGCCAGTACATTTCAAGGGGCTTTTAAGGATCAGAAAGGTACTGTCATTCGGCCCATCTCCATCAGACTAGGAGACTGCAAAAAACTATAAGATAACCCAGATCCTGAAGGTAAGCTCAGCACCATTTAACCCCCATCTAGTACTTTGAATGTTTCAGTTTCTACTGTAGGCGACACTCTCCAACAAGCTTGGTCTCACCTTCTACAGATTCAGAACATAAATGCAAGCACTTTGCACACTTACAGAGAGCAAGGGTCCTCTTCAGTGAGATCAGACAGAACAACATTGGCAAAGTGGATGGAGAGGGCACCTATTGCTTGCTTGGAGGTGTCATAACACCTGAAAAAAACCAGAGGTAATAAGATCTGTGCCCAGCAGCACTGGAATATCATCAGCCACCCACCCAAAGACCTGGATTGATATACTTTCCTCTAAGAAGCACTCATGATTCTCAGAAGTCACATATGAAGAGTGGTACTATGGCAGATCCAATTAGTTTAGAAAAGCAGCAGGGGGTGGGGGGAACAAAAAAAAAAAAACAGAACAACTCCAGATGCAGATCTGCAAGACTAAAACATTGAGACTTACTAATGACTTTTAGACCACAGTGAAGGGAAGTTTATCCTCCAGTGCCCAGCCAGGCCTCAGCTTCTCTGACTAGCAGTAGGTGCAGAGAAGGTATCAACTTGCTACATCTTACAGCCTAGTGGTGCTTCATAGAGGTGTCCAAAGCTGACAGCTAGTCATACTCTGTTATCTTCCACCAAAATACAGCCAAATGCATTGTCTGGTCTTCAGCTGAGCTGGGTCAGGGGCCAACATTAAAATGATAAATCTAACTTAAGAAAAAAAAAAGATCCTGTCTAGGAGACTGGCCATGTGAGGTTAGGCCAGCAGACTGGAGAGGACCATAACCTCTCAGTTCAGGTCACCTGCAACAAGACAAGCCTGACTGAAGAAACAAGGCAGGGCATTTTACTTCTAGGCATTACCAGCTACTTTAGTGAAGTTTCCTTGGGAAGAGATATCAGAGTTACATTTAATAATTCAATATGGGATATTCAGAGAAGCTAGAAGGCTGCTGGTATTCAAGAAAAAAAAAAAAGCATCTGTAATATTGTTAAGCTCCAAATTAAAAATCTCACCATATCCTCCAGGGCCGCCTCTCTTCCTTTGGTTCCTTAAATCGTTTTACTACAAAGAAATGATTAGAGAGGTTAGGTTAACCAGAAGAGCTGAACTGATACATCTATGCAGTCTGTGCCTATCTCCAATGCAGGAGCAATCAAAAAAATCTGGAGGACCCTCAGCACTCACCAGTCTAAAGCTAAGCAAAGCCAGAGGATCTTGTCTCCGCTTAATTTGGAGCAATGAACTCACCAATAAACCAGAAGGCCAAACAGAGCTATTTTTGGAGGTAGGTACATACTTCTCATCTCCTTCAACAGTGCAGAATCATAGGAAGCAGCCTGAGGGAGGCTGGAGAAGTCCATTGCCATCTACCAACCCTGAGAATTCTGCAGTGAAGTTTAAACCATGGTAGCAACAGCCAAACAATGTGGCCCAGGAGTCCATTAACTTTTTGAATCTCAGCATTATGATACAGACACCTCCTGGTCACAGCTACCTGGACAAGACGATCTCCAGGAAGCAGGACCTTGCCCACACCTCTAGCATAAAGGTACCAGTGCCAAACCTTGAAGCCTTGCAAGCTGGCACAGCTTCAAGCCTATGCCTAATAGCTGGAGGTAGTATTAAAACACCATTTTGTTACACAACATTTTGCATGTTAACTGGCTACTGCTGTGGAGAAGTTATGAAGCAACAGGTGAAAGTGCTGAGGAGAGGCTGACCAGGGAGACAGCCCTTATGCCACAAACTGCAAGAGTATAATGGAAATAAGAGATAAGTAGACTGAACATATGTATCTACAAGAGAAACTCAATGTCATTCTGAAGCCTCAAGCTTAAAACCTGCCAGAAGCAGATCCGCAAGTGTATGCGGGCCACCACCCCATTTGGCCAGAAAGCCAGCCTTTATCATCCAAAATCTAGCCACCCCTGTAACAGAGCTTCTGAAGTCAGAGAACTTGCCTGCTGCGCACAGCCCGAGATGTGGTTCTGACACTACCCATCATAAGTGAAAAGACAGACATTTGAAGCAACTCTTTTTTAATGGGTTTGGAAGGGTTTGCTTCTCGCAGCCCTTCAGGTGCATCCTGATCTATGTGAGCCCTCTACTACTATCAGTCACTGCTCTGGGCCTTTTCCAGTTACTACCTGGAGACAAAGGCAAGTTTTGGGGTTTTTCTTTTTTTTGCTTGGTTCTATTCAGGAGCTTTGCAGAAGTGTCTCAGACAGTCCCAGTTAGCTTGTCCTAGAGAAGTGGCAGAGCACTGATGCTTTCCCTATGTTCAGCCAGCTTTCACACGTGCAAATCAGAGCTAGCGATGGGAAAAAAGTGCCATACCACATGCAAAAGTCAACTTGGTTTAAATTTCAGTCCAGTTGGGATCCCATTACCAGGCTAACTCTTCTCCTTTAAAACCCACAGGTGCTCTGGGAACAAGCTGTCCTGGAAGAAGCATTTCAACCATACTGAACTGCTAGATCTTTTTTAGTTAATAAAATGGCTTTTAGTGGCATTGTATTGTTTTGCAGATGTTAACAGTTACATCTGGAGCTACAGATACTGTAGCTACAGCCAGTGTCTCAGCCATGCTGCCTCCAAACTTCAAGCAGAAGCAGAGGACACAGATCCCAGACCTCGACTCAGCTGCTGGAGCAGCTCACCTCCTTGAAGGTGCTAACGAGCTCAAAACACACAGCAGATCAAATCCATCACAATCTGTTCTCAGAAAAGTCGCCAGTTTGAACAGGATTCAGAGTCAAAATAATGACCTGTGATATCTTTTGGAGACAAAAAAATACACTAAAAACACCAAAGGGAAAAAATAATAATTCAATGCATCCTCTGTTCTGACTGCTCAGTGGTGCCATCTAGCGGAACTGGGAGCCTGAAAGCAGCAGGACATACAACTACGTGTGCAATGTACAATCTTGCTACAGTATATACCCTTAGGATGGTTTCTGTAAGCATTGATTGCCAAATCCCCCTAAACCTACCAGAAGGGCCCAATAAAGTTACTGCTCAGATCATCTGGGATGAGTACTCTAAGTTTAAGCAGATTACTCCTGCAAACACCCAAATGGACAATTAGTTTATCTCACTAAGTCTTCGTTTTTGGAGTGCTATGGTCAGCTTATTTAAGCAGCAACCAAAAGTCAGAACAGACTTGCACCATCCTGCTAGTCTGTCATCCAGCTTCTGTTTCCTCGCCCTCCCATCTACACATATTCAGCCGTCGCCACCTTCGAGTTTACAACCTGAAGAAGAACCCTTCTCACTGCTTGGACACTGCTCAGGGCTCAATGACAATAGGGAAACAGTCACTCAGCATGCCACAGATGACAGCAGAGCCATCAGAGCTACACAGGTCTACCTGCTCTTCAGTGGGGTAAGGAGATGCACTTCTATATACATGAGTTACCTTGCTCCTCATGGCAGGAGGAGACAAACAATCCCTCTGATCCACTTTTATTACTAACATCACTGATAAAGGCACCTCACCAGCACAACATTTAGCACAATGTTACCCAGCTCTCCCTGCTTCCAGATTTACGTTCCACCCACCAGTCAATCTTTCAGGAAATGAAACTGGAAAGGCTAACAGCTTCTGTCAAAATACAAACTTTCCTATCAGAACCAGAAACTGATCTAATCCAGGCACACCACAGTAGCCAGTACCATAAGTATCCCAGGAAACACCCACAGGGAAGTTCACCCCACACTGAGAATCCAAAATGAGGCTTTCCCACCCTGCTCAGTGGCGCAAATGCACATTTTTGACAGTTCAGGACTCAACTCTTGGAGTCACAGCACTGACAGGCCTTTCAGCTCCACAGGGAAAAGCCTGAAAGCACAAATCACGTGGGCTCCACGTGCCAGAAGGCAGAGACCTTCAGGGTCCAGAAGCAGAGCCAGCAGCAGGGTACATGTAGTGTCACTCTCCCTATGAAGAATGAGGGGAAACACATGCTTTTAGAAGCCCTGCTGTCCTGCATAAAAGCCCAGCTGTATGAGAGTATATTTGACATCACTACAAAAATGTTTGCTCCCATCAACAGAAACAAGGGTTTTTCAGCGCTGATCCCCTCAAGGAGCAACTTGCATTTCACCCATTCACAGGCAAAAGACCTGTGGACTAACAGAGCTGCTCAGCTGGCCAGAAGTATTTAAACTCAACCTAAGACACTTGTTCAGCTCACTGGGCAGGTAGTACCAAGCTGAAGAGATGCTGAACAGATCTGCAGGCCACCAAGCCAGGCAGCTGACCATTAGCCTGACTGCGAGAGCATCAGTGATGATTTTCATTGTTTTCTTAATGAGAAGTGACATGTTATGTATCCACAGCCACTCAGGCTAGAAATACAGTAATTCAGTGTGATAAGATGACAAGTAAGAGGTAAGAAGTTAATGGTGTGGTGCCTTGTTGAACATAGCTTGTCATGCCTCATTAGATTTAAGAGAGTTATCCAAGACTGTGTAATTATCAGAGACAGTAAAACTGTTGTATTAAAGATAAAAGCTAGTATTATAGAGAAATAATTAACTGCTTAATAGGGCATTTACTGTGTGGAGCTGCAGCAGGCTGTCTCCAAATTAAACCAGAAAGCCAGCCAAGATTACTGGAGCTTAAGCAGGCAGCAGAGTAGTTCAGTAGCTGTGACCCAGAGGTTACGGGTGATGTTAAATCCACATAAAAGTGGCTCCAGGTCTTTGAAAGCTCAAGGAGCTGATAAAACCCTCTTTGAAGGAGGGCTGCTTCTTTTGTGCTTTGGGAGCACAGTAGGGCTGTGGTAGCAGCCGCCTGAACGGCGATTGGGAAGTGCCCCTCTTCTCTTCCAAGCCATGCAGAGAGCCAATTTACGACATTCACAGCTACATGGTGGGGCTGCACAGCCACACACTCAGCTTTTAGGGGTTGGTGAAGGGCTAACACCTGCTTTACACTTCTTAAAACACACCTATGCTCATGGGGGTCAACATGGTTTTCCATCAACTGTAGGCATAG